CTGCTGAGCGTCACGGGGGGAAGCAGGAATAATAGGATCACACATAACATTTTGCTCACAAACAACTGCTATTAGCACTTGCCTGATGGTAGGAACCAGGGGACTGTCCCAACTGCCAGGCTCAAGGACAAGCTCCTATGTTCTGTTTTGCCTGTTTCCAGTGAATGTATCACTGAGTAATGACTCATGCTTTGAAGACAGGATTTATTGGTCACTTCAGACCATGCTTGGTTCTGCTCCCCACTTTTATGCATGTTGCAGTTAAGGGTAAAAATACAGCTGCTCTTAAATCCCTCACCTTTTCAATTTTGATGTATTATCTCATAATAAATTAGCATAAACTGGTTACAATTACCCCAGCTGTTTGGAATCAACAGCTTTCAAGAGTAATTTTACACAAAAAAAAACCCTGATGTAGCACTTGTGTCAGAGGTAAGATTTGTGTCAGAGGTAAGATTTGTGATGGCACACATTAACAACTCCTACCCCAAACAGGACAACCAAGGTGCCACGAGATTATCTTCTTCTGAAAACAAGAAGAAATAAAGGTGAACCCAGGGAAAATTTTATACAGCTGTTAAGACACCCGTGTTCATGTTTCTACTGAACTTCATGACAGTCTGTGGTCCTCTTGTTACTACTTGTGTCATGGATTAATTTTTTTAATTATTATTCATTTGTTCCAACAGGTACAGAAGGCAAAATAAGAGTTGCACAAAAGGAGTATTGTACCATTTCCTGAAGCTACTGAGAACATAGGCTTGCCTGGGAAGTTTGCTTTATGGCTGGCTGGATTATCTGAGCTAAGGATGCTGTAGTTGGTTTGATGTATAAAAATTGCCGACCTTCAGTGGAAGAGGAGAGACAATTGCTTTCAAGTGGTTTTCTTATCCTTGAACATTTTCGTAACAGGATACAGTGGTCATCTATGAAAGACTTTTTGAAGTCTATGCCGCAAGACAGAGACCTCCTCAGAAGAGGCCAGCCAGTTCCTGTGCTGGGGAGGCAGTTCCACTACAGCTAAGCACAAAGCCTTCAGCTGCCAGCACACTCCCCAGCTTGGGGTCTGGCAAAGGTCTCTCCATGAGAAGGGGAACGCTGGGCTTCAGAGACGTGAATTCCAGAGGTGAGGGAGCTCAGCTACTTAGGCTGTCTCGTGCCTTTCAGTTATTACCACCACCACCGCAGTAAGCAACAGACCAACACACCTCGCTGGCATCAGCAGCCAAGGTCCAAAGACGTTTTAGCTGCGTTATGAACAGGATTATTTCACACATTCATTTAGTGAAAAAGTGTCCTCTTCCCAAAATAACTAATGTTACTCCACCTTTATCACATAGGCAATTCCAAGAGTCAGAACATAAAAAACACTGAGATTTTTTGCTTTTACGGACTAAATATATTGACAACTTTTATACAAATAAAAGCAAATTATGGTATTACATTCATTTAACAAATTCTAATACAAAAAAAGTGTATTTCATAAAATGCAATTTTTAAATCAAAGCTCTACAGAAACATACAACTCCCCTATAAAGATGTCCAGTCCGCCGAGCAATGTTTGCTCAAAATAGTTATGAACTTAAATATGCTCATAAGTGTATTACACTTGAACTATACATCTGGATAAACATGACTGAAATCAGAAATGAAGAAAATTTACTTACTACCAGAACTAGCTGTGCAGCTCGAATGAGCAGCCACCAGCTGAGCTTGGCACAGCCTGCAGCTGGAGCAGCTGTGCCTGGCCAGTGGCTGACCACACCTTCCAAACCCATCCCGCAGTCACGGGAACACTTCAGTGTTACCAGCCAATAACGTAAAAGAGGAAATAACGTAACTGGTGGTGGTAAGAAATGAAGTCACAAGCCACATCCCGATCACAGGCAATGTGTTGCCTACACCACTTACAGACTAAAAACTTTCTTTGATAAAACTGATTTACCAAATATTCAAAACAAATTTTTACCTATTGCTCTACTTCACGCAAGTTTACTGCTTTTAGGTTTTTAAATATTATGAAATTATCGAACTAGCTGAATTATAGGTATACAAAATGATCATCTATCAAACATTCACTTTATACATAAACATTTCCGAAACAGATTTACAGGATACAATTAGTTTATACAGCTTAAGCAACTGTTAAAATGTCATTTCTCTCAACCTGAAAGCAGCCAAAAGGTCTAAGATTTTGTTAAGAGGTTCTTGGTCACCGTTCAAATGTTAACTTTCTTGTCTCACGCTGCTCACATCCGTGTCACCGCATTTAACGCTGCAGGGTTCATGTAATAAACTATACATTATTCCATCTCACCGTACGCTGCAAAACCCATTAATGTGCAGGAAAAGCTCATTAACTCTCACGTGTTTTTAAACACAACATATCTACATTTTTCCCCAGAATGCTTTCGCTTCCTGAGCTAGACGTAAAATACCTTAAAACAGGTTTAGACACAGATCCGAGACCCCGTAAGCAAACTACATTAAAATGCATAGAGGGGAAAAAAACCCCGCACCACTTTCGGCATCTCGCGCTACTATTTGTTTGCACTCTAAATACATTTCAGACGGATCTAATAATCTCTTGAGTAAGGTAGCACACTTTCTATTTCAATTGTCTAAACTATATTATTGTGTATTGCTCTTGCCTTTTACGACTTTTTCTATAAAAGGATGTCTGCATTTCACAGCCTACGAAATACTCCTGACACCCGTAATCTTGTCATCGAACTGACTGGGTTTGAAAATGCTCAAGTCTGCAACAGCAGCATGCAATTTTGGTGGGGTTTTGTTTGTTTTGTTTAAGATCAACGCTGACTGCGTTTAATACTAGTATCTAAAGCGAAGAAGGACAGCATATTAAAAGTGGCATTTTGCAGGTGCCTTTCAATATTTTAAATACATTTTTTTTATTTCCATAAAAGTTTGAAGTCACCATCCATGAAAAAGAACAAATCTGAAACAGAAAACAGATTTTCGCTTGCATGGAAACAGAATTTGGAGCTATCCATGATTTCTGGTTTTGAACCTGGATTTCATAAATAATTTTTGAATGAAAAATTCCTTTTCTAATCAAACAACGAAGTAACTTACAGTAAAAACTCTAGTATTAAATAAGCTTATACAATAAATTGCAATAGTGTAAGCTTGGGTTTAAGGTGCTATTCCATCTGCCCTGAAGTCTTGTAAGGACTTCACCACGTGGGCATCATGTCCGGGAACCAGACTCTACCGAGATGCTTTGAAACCTCCCAATGAATCTGCTCCAAGCTGTATTTCTGATCAGGAATCAAAACTTCCTCCATGATAGAAAGCTGAGAGAGACGACCGCCACACATCTTCACAAACTCAACAAAGGCACTGCAAGAGACTTCACATTCTCCTAAGCCAACAGCTGACAGGTACTTGCAACGTTCTGCGATACGGATCAGCTCCTCATCCAGTGGCCGCAATCCATTGGCGCACACCACCAGCTCAACTAACCGAGGACATGTCATCCCCACACGGCCAAGTACGTCTTTGCTTACTGATCTTCCAAAGTAAAGGTGAGTGACAGGTATTTCGTAACGAAAGAACGGGTCAAACTCTTCTTCGTACAAGAAAAAGTACATCACTAAATTTACTTTAGGAGAATGCTTGATGAAAGCGTCCCAGCTGCTCTTCTGGATTGTGTGGAACTGAGTCTGTCCAGGATTTTCACTGACGACATCAATGCGCAAGTGTTCTAACCTGACATGTTTTTCAGAAGACAAAGCAAGCAGAAGCTCATCGCTTAGCAGGTGGTAGTTTAGTGCCAACTCACGTAAGCCATGACACTGGTCAGCCACACAAAGGATACCTGGGAAAAGAGAATATTAGGGAAGGGTTTACACAGCTAAACATACTAATAACAACAGGAAACGTAAGACTGAGTTTGGTTTTATGTGTCAAGAGGGTGCAAAGACCACATATTTCAACATGCAGTCAAGACAGAACATCAACACAAAATCATACTGGACAACCAGAACACGAACGTTCTTCACATAAGCATGGTCTTGTGACTTCCTTGCTCCTACGCTGTAAGATACCCATACACTGTGTGACGACATCGCTGTTTTGCTAGCGAAACATCAAGAAGTTAACACGCTGCATCGTCTGCTTTCCTGTTGGGAGCTGATTCTCATGTGAAAAATACAGAAATAGCATTCTCTGCCTGTGCGGCCCTGTCCTAAGACCACACACACCCAAGTTCGCTTTTGTAACAGGGGCTTGCTCACAAGAAAGGTTATTTCCCGAGCCCGCTCTGGCAGAACTGCTGTCCCCCTCTGGCAGAACTGCTGTCCCCCTCTGGCAGAACTGCTGTCCCCCTCTGGCAGAACTGCTGTCCCCCTCTGGCTGGCAAAGCAATCATGAATGACACCTGGCACCTGAGGAAAGCAAACATAAAATGAATGCCAGATTTTAATTAAATACAGAAGTTGCTGTTGTCAGTATTTGTTCTTTCTAGCAAAGTATAAATACTTAAATTTGGAAAAGCAACAGCAAGAAACAAGGAAAACGGTAAAAATTGGGAGCAGTAATTCCTAAGCCAGCCGTTTTCAGACTCTCCCTTTAACGAATCAGTATAACCTGCTGCTCATGGAAGACAAAGACATCAACAAAAAGAATTCAGTTCAGTCTATAAGGCTTCCACTTATCCTATTTGCAGATACAAGCAATGGTACCACACTGGGAACAGTCCTTAAAAAAAAAAAAAAAAGGGCACTGAAAAAGCGTATCGTCCTCCACATTTCATGTGATATGGTCTTTCGATTAACAGAGGAGATGAGAACATAGCATTTCATATGCAAGTGAGACACCTGAGCTCAATACCCTATAGCTTTGAGACAACAGGAAGAAACATAGCAAGACAGCAGTTATTTTAAGATGCAGTTATTAAACTCAAGAGAAGCCTACACTGAGCCTAAAAACACTTTCTTCAAAAAATTACTGTAAAAATATTGCATGAATATCTATACATCAAAAAAGTCAGTATTTTCCACCTGAAGATCTACAAGAACACGTGCATCAGCAGCTCTCCTCACTGTATCAACCAGTGTCATTTCAAATATAAAAAGTTCATTACGATGAATTAAAACAAGTAACTTTTGTTAACTTTCAGGGTATGTTATTGACTAGTGCAATGGAAAAAGGGAAGAACTGGGGTTCAACCTGCTGCGATTTGTTACCGGTCCAGGACTGGACACCCACATCACATCATAGCAACGAAATTATGTATCCTGCATATAGAACTGACAATCAAGACAGTGCAGTTACCTGCTGGAGGGCCTCCCTGGAGGCCACACTGCAAGTGGAACATTCACAGAACATCCCCAGGTGCTGCCTAAACCTTCATGTCACCAAGTGGTAAATTGCTCAATATCATACAGCACAGACTTACACCCAAAAAAATCCCTCTACTGAACTGCTGATGTGGACACATCCTACATCCACTCTTCTCCCCTATCCCCCATTCGAAGAGGAGCAACCCTCCTACCCCCAAAGCAGAGCAAAACCACAGCCCGTACAGAAATGCTTTCTGCTCCCTCTGCTAATGTCTCAGAAAATAAACAACAGCACATTGATGCAGATTTTAAAATAACCATTGTTTTGTTTTACAAGGTCCTGTTGCAGTTCTAATGCATGTTAGCTTCAGAGGGGAAACAGCAAGCAGAAGAAACTTTGCACATACTCACAGAGATCAGAAATACAGCACTGACTTTGTTTCTCCAGCCAAACCCAAACATCTCTTTATCTTTGTGCAGTAACTTAGGGATTATTGAGAATCTTTCAGAAGCAAAGAAGTCACAGTTTGGTATCAATCTTTTCCCTTTATTCCTGCAGCAGTGGAGTCTCTCTGGCACTACTCGCATTACTCTTCTCTGTCCTTCACTAACAAACTTCCTTATCTAGTAATAAACATTTCCTCCCACACAGACTGCAATTTGAAGGCATGTTATACCATTTATGTGCATCTGTAAGTATTTATTTTTGTGTAACTCAGGGCCCTTTTGGGTTTTCCATATTTAGAGCAACCTGCTAATTATAATACACACATCAGAAAAAAAATCCAGGTTCAAAGTTTCTCATTTTCCTTCAAGAGTGTATTTTTTGCAGCCTGCCTGGTCCGAAGCCAAGTATCCACACATCAGCTCCTTTCTTTTGTTCCCACTTTTTTCTCCATCTCAAGGCACACCCATACCTGAATTAAGCAATCAAATTCTCCTGCCGTTTGCTTAGTGCTCTCTAGTTTTGTCACTAATGTATCTGATCCCATTCTATTCCCCTCTACTTCATGAAGGACAACAGTAGTTGTGCCCCTTGTGCCTTAAACAGGCATTGCCATTTCTTACCCACCGTTCCTCCAATTTAAAACATCATACATCAGACAGAATACAACAGTCAAACAACTTTGTGTTCGTACCCTCTCCCAAATTATCAAGTGTACGATGTTCCATAAAACCTTCTGGCCAGGATTAGCCAAAAGCCAGCAAAGCCTGCTAGAGCTGACAGCTTGCTCTTGGCTCCAAGTCCAAGGAAACTGCTCTCTTTGCCTAGCTACGAATTACTGCTGGAGCCTAATCCTCCTGGAAGACACACTGTGGCTCCTGTACATCTCCGGCAGAACCATTCTCAAATGAATGTCATAAAAAACAGTCACTCAAGCCAATTTAAACAACTCCCTATCTGCAATTACAGAGCTTTGAAGAAAATAACATTCCAGTTAACATGCTGGTGAACACTTTGCTGGAAAAATCTGCAAAACCAACCCGCATTTTCAGGACTTTATACAAAACCAAACTCAAGATTTTTTTGAGAGCTGCACCTGTAAAAACTATTAAGTCTGTGTTTTGTTTGTTATCACTACAGCAATACGCCCTCTGCAACAGTATCATTTTCGCCATCTATTAGGAGACCTGCTGGTGAATTTTACATATACCTAATGTTTACAGCTGCAATGCATTTACATGAATAAAATTTTGGTGACTACAGTAGTTTCTACTTATTCTCAGAAGAGGAATTGAACTACGTTGCCAGCATCTCATTTACAATTCCTCTTCCATTTCTCAGTGAAAAACTCTTAAGTGTTAAGCTGATGGGCTGTGAATCAATCTCAAACTTGTTGTGCATTGTGTAAGTCTTCCACAACATTAATTCTATGAACTTCAACAATCTTGAGTGATTTTGTTCTGACACAAGCTGGCTTCACTCTTGCTACAAACACACTTCAGAGAGTTAACGAAGTATATATGGTAGTGGCAGAACTTCTGCACAGCACAGTCTCACCTCTCCTTTGTTGATGCCGTCTGCACTTAGTCTCCAGCAAAAGATTAAACTGCTTTCTTTCAGAACAACTAAACCAGCATCTTCATAATCCACGACATTGCAACACTAAAACCCCAGACATAACAAACTGCAGAAAAGGAACTCGCGTTCCAAAAAGCTTAATTATACCGGAATACTTAAATAGTCACTGTAGAAGTCGTGTACTATCAAGTCAATGCATACTCTTTTGTTCCATGAGAAGTTAGTTATTTGTTCAGAACAGACATGCACTATTTTGTTATTAGCTCCGTGGCCACTCTGCAAGGGGTGGGATAGATGGATTGACAATCAGTTGAATTAGTATTTTATTCAGTGACAGCTGCTATAGTTACCACATTCATCCTCACTCTCATCCTACCCCTATTTTTTCAGTTTACTGGTTTCAGGCAGAATTTTATGTATCTATTTAAAACAAAACACAACACAGTAGCTTACCAGCTGGAGAAACATGAGGACAACTGCTCATTTTCAACAGTTTGAGTGTGTCACTGTTGTTAGCCACTAGCACTTTGAGAGATGGATCATCTACTGGTGTATCATCAATCTTAAGCGAAGAGAGGGATTTGGAGTTTACAAACACCACTGTCAGTGCAGAAATAAAGTGAGACTGGAAAAAAAAATAATTTAATAGTTTCAATGGTTTTACACTGTACACAGCAGTCCTAGTTTTCTTTTACTTACTGACAGCATTTGCTGAAAAAACATTCTTTTGATATTGCATAATTAAAAACTAATACTATAATCAACATATTTTTGAGTACAGGAAGGATAATAATTTTTTGCTATCAGTCTATGTATTTGGCAAATCAGAACATCTAACATTAAACATAAATCAAGAACCTGGCCCAAGACAATTCACAACACAAACTTAAATCTACAGGAAGACCAGGAGCAAAGAGCAAGCCTAGAAGCCCTAATTTTGAGGATAATTTGCACGTCACACTCTAAAAGAAGCATTTTCTAGAACCGGAATTCCCATGTGGTGAGTTGTGCTGCACAGGTGAAACGCAAACACAGCCAAGAGTGGCAACCCTGTACTGCTAAGATGTGTCCAAAGCCAAATGGTACCACTGCCTGCCTACCAGCCACACAGAGTACTTGGGGTTTGAATGGATTTGTCTCGGAAAGCTACTCGGAGTGGTCCAAACAGAGCCAAGGAACAGGTGATCAATTAATTACTAATTAAGCAGCATAGACAATGTAGGTGCAGTGCTCAATGTTGCTCCTCAGCATTTTTATGTAACCACTGAAAATTACCAGTAAAGACAGAGCCCAGGATGCCTTAACTTGAGAAGCACAGAATGAGGAGCAGAAAGCACAGTGCTTGTAGAAATCAGTGGTAGTATGAAGGAAGTGAATAATTAGCTTATCTTCATGATTTTTTTATAAGACTGACAGAAGAAAAAGTACTTCCCTCGTGCACTACCTTAAGTCTTCTGTAAAATCACCTGCTACTGCTATTTCAATACTGCTTCACTCTGATCGATGGGCTGAGGCCAATTGTATGAGGTTTAACAAGGCCAAGTGCCACGTCCTGCACTTGGGTCACAACAACCCCGTGCAGTGCTACAGGCTTGGGGATGAGTGGCTGGAAAGCTGCCTGGCAGAAAAGGACCTGGGGGTGCTGGTCGACAGCCGGCTGAACATGAGCCAGCAGTGTGCCCAGGTGGCCAAGGCGGCCAACAGCCTCCTGGTCTGTATCAGAAATAGTGTGGCCAGCAGGCGTAGGGAAGTGATCGTGCCTCTGTACTTGGCACTGGTGAGGCCACACCTCGAATACCATGTGCAGTTTTGGGCCCCTCACTACAAGAAAGACATTGAGGTGCTGGAGTGTGTCCAGAGAAGGACAACAAAGCTGGTGAAGGGCCTGGAGAACAGGTCTTACGAGGAGCATCTGAGGGAACTGAGGTTGTTTAACCTGGAGGAGGCTGAGGGGAGATCTTATCGTTCTGTACAAACTACCTGAAAGGAGGTTGTAGTGAGGTGGGCATCGGTCTCTTCTCCCAAGTAACAAGCGATAGGATGAGAGGAAATGGCCTCAAATTGTGCCAGAGGAGGTTTAGATTAGACATTAGGAAAAATTTCTTCACTGGAAGAGTAGTGAAACATTGGAAGAGGCTGCCCAGGGAAGTGGTGGAGTCACCATCCCTGGAGGTGTTCAAAAACTGTGCTGATGTAGCACTTGGGGACATGGTTTAGTCTAGAAGCATGGCAGTGTTAGGTTGATGGTTGGACTTGATGATCTTAGAGGTCTTTTCCAACCTAATGATTCTGTGAGCCACGTGTACGTGTAGAATCCTGAATACAGTTATATGAGAAAAGGCCTGGCAGCAGTATTTGCTCATTCTTATGTGACAGGTTTGTGGGTTTGCTAAAACTCACAATTTCATTCAGAGCAGGAATTAACATTTTCACATTAACATAAACTGTCAAAGTCAGTTCATGCAAATGGAAAGAAAGTTCAAATCAGAAGCATTAGGCATTTTGTCTTTAGGGAACACTCCCAACTACACTGACAATACACTGACTATATATGTTACGTACAGAAGAAAAGATGCTTTAATAATATTTCCACTCAGCATTTCAGAAGTGTTAGGATTCTGGGTTTATTTTATGTGTTTAGAATGTAATTCCCTTCACTAAGAAGGCTGTTAAATGGAAAGGCAAAGAAAGTTAACCATGTTTACAAAAACAGGTAACCTGAAACCGTAGTTTGAAGAGCTAACAGAAGATGGGCAATATCCCAGAATTTAAAAGCTGAGAATTTAATGTCTTTTGAATATTGACACACATGTAGCCTATAGTATGATTCTTTAAAAGATTCATTTAGTAGTGAACAGACTAGGCAACACAATGCTAAATGTGATTTACAAGTATTTGCTAGATATGTTATTCGAAATCACAAGAGTGCCAACAAAGAGAATGCAAAGTAGTTCCGACTTCCTGTACAGTCTGATTAAAACAGAAATAAAATCATTATGTTGTGTTAACCATTTTTCAGATCCATTCATCTTTGCCTGCTTCTCATCCAATGGGACTGTTACTAACGGCTTCCCACAAGACCTTATTCATGGTCGAATTCTATTCTTTACAAATCATTGCTGGGGTTAACTTATGTGGGTGACAATATTATTATGGAGACAATTATGGAGTGGTAAATATCAGAAAGCAAATTATGCCTAGAGTCAATCTTGGCTCATTTTGAATGTATTTTTAAAAGGCCACATGTGAACCTGTTAGGAACAAAAAAGGAAGCCTGTATTTTAGAAGCCTTGAAGCTGAATAAGGCCCTAGCAAGCTACTACAAACAATTACTCAGCAAGCTGAATAGGACTGTAACACATCCCTCCAGTGAAAAATAAAGAGTGCTAAAACAGCATCCAGATTAAGAAATAACACCACATGCAAGAGCTGAAAGGACAAAGTTCCACTAACACACTAAGACTGTGGATCGTTTTCACTACGTTCAGGTTTTCTTATAGTCACATCTCAAAGCACATTGAAAAAGAAAAAAAAAAAACAAACCATACAAAAAATAATTAAAGATCGGGAAAATCTTATAAAATTAAGGATTAAAAATGCATATTCAGGACTACATGGTGCAGCTGTGATCACTGCCAAGGAAAATAAATGATAATCCTTCTGTAGCTAACCTTACTTAAACCCTATAGCCTACTTCCTGAGGCTCTCCCTACTTCTTCCTTGTCCTTGTTGCCATCATCAGCAATGACATCAGCAAGATCACCTAATAGTCTAGCTCTGTCTCCCCTTCACATACATGTGGACTGGATTCAGGAACTGAGGCTGCAAGACATCCGAGATGTCCCTGCCACAGAACACGCAGCCCAGGTTACCCCAACCACTTTCCTGCTCCTCAGCAACAGTACACACACTTCTACCTCACTATTAGAATCCTCATTTAGAAGTACATGTAAGAGGTTTGTTGTCCTCTAGATTAGATGACTTCTAAAAAAATAATTAATTTTTGGTAAACATGCAAGGTAAAACTGACAGAAAATTTAAGAAATACAGTGCACTTTGCCTCCGACACTTGACTGTGACATGAGGTACTGAAAATCATGATCATAGCTCTTTCTGAAGAGAGCTCAACAATAATACAATCCCTACAGCAAGTCCACACGGATAAAACTCTACCACTCATTTGATTATAATCGTCTCTTAGACATCCCCCACCATCCCACATTACAATTACACAGACATGACTCGTCCAGGCTCCCGATTTGCATCATACTGCTCAGTATTACACTGAGTTCAACAGACAGGAGGACTTGGAAGAACAAGGTCAGGCCTAAGTTCTCACATGATACAGAGAACGAGTGAAACTTTAGTTATCCATCTTAGTACAACATCTCGGTTGCTCTGTTTAATAGGGCCCAGTAATAAAGTTTTCTTTGCCAAAGATTCATATTCTTAGAATAAAACTTTTCATAAAGTTATAGAAATACTGTATGAAACACCACAATACTTTGCTATAGAAAAATATAGATATTAAAATACCTTTGGTAAATCCATGAAGCTTGGCCGGGCAGTTGAAATTAGCCCAAGTGTTTTCAGAGAGCAATTCACAAGCTGTGATAAAATATCACAAGCTGCTTCTGCAGATTCCTTGCTACTGTCCACCTGAAAACGAAACAGATTTACTGTTCAAAAAACACTGCACCAAACACACTTTTTACAAAAAAGCAGAGTAGTTGTACATTAACATTTTTCATTTTACTTTCTGAAATGTGACGTCAAAAAAACCCCCACAAAACACCATCAATGTTACTCTCTTTTCCCCCAAAAGTACATACCGAAAATCCAAGACCATTTGCTATAAATTTACGACTCTCCTAAACACTTTGGTAAAATTTAGCATGGTGAGGGGTCAGCTAAACAGTTTGTTCCAAAATATTCAATCCACATCAAATGAACCTCTGCTTGCTTACTATTTGGGTCCAGAGCCTACCCCACTTCCTCCTTACATTCTTCCTTCTCAAAATGCGGGAATTCTACAAATCCTTTACTGTATGGAAGAGCTGCTTCCTTTTACGGTGACTCAGCTCAAAACAGAGAGCTGCCGGGAGTTAAGTGCATTATCATATGAACCTGTATGACTGCGCCTTCATCATTAATACAACAGATATGCAATGGATACTCTGGGGGAAAAAACCAATAAAATCTTCATTAGTCAGCTTGTTATACAACTAGATCACTTAACGTGCTTCCAGTGGATTCCCCCCAACACTCGGGTGTGCTTTCCAAATAACCTCTTCTATACAGTAGGCGTGACAGCTTTTCAAACCTACAGAACAGTAAAAACCTTGAACACAAGATCAATTTTAAGTCAATCATAAGCTACGCTACCTTGTCAGCAACTGACCTAAGTCCCATGAATGTTCATTTTCTGCTCAAACACAAGCTGAAAAATCTCCATTTTCAACAATCCCATCTTCTTTCGCCTACAAGAAACCCCCAAGTTTTCAGCCCTGACAGAGTAAGAGTCAGTGTTATACCCACTTCCTTGCAATTGTCCTTGTCACTTGCTATTTCCTGCAATCTAGCGTTCATTCTGCAACACTGAAGGACAACTGAAGGGACACATTGAAGAAATGATGCAGGTATCACCCCACCAGTGAAGAGCATCTGAAATCCTTCAAAATCACCTGTTGCAAAGTAACATAAACAGGAGATACACACTGGAAGGTCATTCCAATACTGCTATAAGTTTCCTTTATTTGGACACTGATAAAACCCCTGCAAACCCTGTGATAACAGTTTGTACCTGGTATTGCATCAGTCAGCAGCAATACACGTGATCAGGCAGAGGTGCCCCAGCTACCCACACGCTGATGATTCCTATGTTAGAACTGCCACGTCTCAGAAACAACCAACTAGTACGTCAGCCTTGCTGCAAAGTCATTTCCTTTCCAAATCTGTCACATAGCTAATGCATACGCAACCATGACTGTTTCACAGCACCCTTCCAAAACACAGTGATTATGTAGGCCAATGTTAAAGGTTTTCATCTGCTGAAAATAATTCCACGATGTTAACAAAGCCAGTTCTGACCAAACCACATTTCTCAGCCAAGCACATTCAGTGGAGAGACTATCCTGTGCAAATCCCATGTACTTTTTCGGTTCACTGAAACGCAGCCGTGCTGAGTAGATGCCATACACCGACAGTCCCATACCATCTCGTACTAAAACTGCCAGCTGCTTACCAGTAGTACTGAAGTCACTCTCTGTGCATCAGATGTTTTCTAACCATGAATATTAGATCCAGCTCCCTACAGGATGTGAAATGGGGAAATGCTCCATTTATGCATCCTGATCCAACTTAATTCTGAGGCAGGTACCCACACGTACAGTAGTATCAGAACTGAAGTATTTCTGCACACTCATTAAGGCAGAATTTTAAGCAGCTAAGATGCTACAAGAGAAAAGAAAAAGAAAAACACCAAACAAAAAAATCCCCACCTAATGAAATTAAGGCAAGGAAAAGTTCAGAACTGTCATTCCAAGTTTTGGTCCTCAGAATATATCCACATAAACAAGTGGATGAGGAGGTAGCCTCCATGTCTATACGCCCATTTAGAAAACCCATTCCTTCAGTATACTAGGCCTGAAAACAAGGCTTACCACACTGGAACCTGCCATATTTCTTTTAAATAGTTGGCAATCCTAATCACACAAATAACATCATAAGCCTTTTCTAACACTACTGATGATGTTTAATTTTCAGCAGGTTAAACGTTTTGATCACAACTGTCAATTACCACTTATCAGTATTTCAATTACTGACATTAATTCAATCATACTTTCTCATGCTTTGATATGTATATAGATGAACCATCAAAATTGTCTCAAAAGTATCACAGATATTTCCTTAAAACATTCTAAATAAAATGCAGGGGGAAAAAAAAGAAAGAAAAAAGAACCAAGTTTAACAAATGCTTTTATTTCTAGAAAATTACTTTTAAAAAGCCTACAAAATACACTACCTTGAAGCTTACATACTGCAGGTGATTGGAATGCCTCTTTATTATTTGCTTGATTAGTTCAGGATGTGTAGCCCTCAAGTAAGATGTGGCTGGTTGATTCAATTCAAACTCAAAACACCTCCAGAGATCAGGCATATGAAACACTTGGTTCCAACTTCGGCAGACCTGTGATGCATGAGCACGATCCAGAAGGGGCAAGTACTGAAACACCTGCAGGATGATGTCTTGGAGCAGGTTTGCCCAGTCAGGACTCTGCACAACTAGGGTCTTCTCAGCTATAACCTTGTGTCTCTTGGATTCTTTCTCTGTTGTCTCTTCAGATGAACTGCTGTTGGCCTCATTGGTTTTCCTTCCTCGTTTCATTCTATAAAAATAATACCCAAAAAAAAAAATCTATATATTTTTGTAAATGTAAGAGAACTGAAAAGAACAATATTAATAGAAAACTGTGGAGGTGTAAAAGCATGTTTTCTGTCCCCCCCCCCCCCAACAGAAAACAAATAAGTAACAATGAGTTAGCGGTAGTCTAACATTACCATCTAAACAGGCATCTTTAATCATTAACAGTGCAAATCCATTTATAACACTCTTCTTTCAGTGTTTCACTTTTGTGTTTGAGAACACTTTGAACCTCATTTGTTTTGCTGTTTTGTTGATTATCACTCTAGCTTCCTACTAATGGAAAGATACTCTTCTGAATACTTTTGTGAGCAGACATTCATACTGCTCCCCCAGTCCTGTTTACCAGAAACAACATTTGAAACAGTGGAAGGCAAAACGCAGGCAAGAAAGCCAATAATGTTTGCAGGCATTGCATCTTGCCCCTTAATTTTTATTCATAGGCAGGAAAAACCTTTCATTTTCATTTATTCAAAAAAGGTTACTTCAACATGCATCTATTTTAAATCAGCATCCTTAAAAACATATTTCATCAAGAGTATTGGTGTGCTTCTGTTTTTCCAACTAATTAGTAAATAGGTATTATGAAAGATTTCCAGTAACAGTCTGAAAGTTTCAAAAAAAGTTTACAGAAGCATCAGCAAACTTTGTTCAAAATCATATTAAAGTCAGCAAGTCTGAGGCAAAAGCTTATCTCATTCTCAGTAGTATATACTTCTTCCATAGTGGTCTTACTTACACAAGTTCTACCTTTTATATTGAAGGGGGAAAAAAAAAAAACCCATCACTACATACATCTGAAATATATTCAGAACTGAGTTTTAATCGAAGTGTGTTCTTCTGAACTTAACTTCGCATTCAGTCATTTAATTTTAAAAGCCTCAATGCGATCCACATAATGTCCTCAAGGACTAGGAAGGGGACCCCACGCAGAACTACAACTCACTCAATTCTAGTCTCTAAAAAGCTAAGAGAACCCGGGGGTGGGGTGGGTTTGATATGTATACAAGCCCCCAGCCCCCATGATTTCTATAAGATAAACATGAACTTCATACACAGTGCAGTCACTCTGGTTTAACATTCAACTACTATTACACATATAAGATTATCATACGCCCAGGTCATTTGGGATCTGGATAGTTACCTTTCCCTGCCAGGTACTGCAACTAAGTAAAAGTTCAGAAGTCTTTTTTAAAAACAAAGTGTAATATGCTAGATATAGAAGTGAAAAATTATACTGTTTATCATCCAACGCATCATGGATTATTTTCTCAAAGCCAGCACCTCCTTACCTATCTTTGAAACACTCTAATCTTACCTACTGACCAGACAACAGCAAGCTGTCACTTAAGGTCTGAAGCTGTTCACAAAAAGATGCAAACCAACCTGAACATACTTTCATGAAAGACTGATAAACAGACCGCGTCTCAATTTTTTCACCTGTTTTTTTAATCCCAGTAGCACTTGGAGGCAATCATAAGATGAAAACACTACCAGGCAAAAATCTCTACTTGCTTCATGAGATCTATTTACTGTGATTCACAGCTCATGACCATGAGACTGTGCAAAACATGACTCCTGTGTGGAAACAAGCTTTTCACCTGAGAGAGAGAGGTCTTTTGGTGAGCCACTAAATTCACTGGTACAGGAGGAAGGCAAGAAAACTGGATAGAACCATCTGCAACTAAAAGAAAAACGAAGGAACTGGATTTTGCAACTGTGAAAACTGAATAATTAAACTTAATAACTAATCAAGAATTAGATTAGCAGATCCACTGCAAACCTGTCATGTTTCTGTTTGAAAGAACTGCTAAGGGCAGTCCAACAACCTTACTTGTAATAAGCCAGTCTGAAACACAACACTCCTCTAAACTTTATGCGAAACAAATATTCTAGCAACTACAACTAGGTTATAACGAGCAATTACCATAGGCAAGCTATTCACTTGCCAAATTTGGGATAGCATGTTTGATGTCTTTTATTTTCAAAGCCATCTCTTGTTAGTCTATAAAAAACTACACAAGGTAACCAATAAACCTGGCTCTCCAAGGCTTCCTCTACAAAGATCCTGCCTCATCTTTTGCTAGTAAGGTAATATATGTGCATAAATTTTCTAGTTAGGTAGGCCACTTTTATCACTGCATTAATGGTTCAAGTTCTAGATTTTCTCCCTTTATCATATTATAGGGGCTATTGTGCACGTACAGTAGAGCTAATTCACATATACAGTACATGAGATTTTCAAAGACACAAGCACTAGATCTGACACTTCCCCACCACAGCCCACAAAAAAAACAAAAAACCACCAGAACAAAAGGAGTGAGCTGCCACTGACAAAACTTTACAAATTTTTCAGCTGGAAAAATAACCTCTAAGACACAGCTGACAGAAGTGGATCAGGTCATCAACAGCCAATTTACAAGTTGCACCTCTGAGCTAACTTTGATTCAGTTCTAAGTAGTTAACATATGCTGGTTACAGATCAAAACTCACTCCTGAAGCTGTGGGGTACTATCTGAAGTTCTTCTAGACAGCCAATGAAGAAAAGAGACAATATGGCCATCATTAGAGCTATACTAATTATGAATTTCAGGTCCAGTCCTCCAAGAAAATAAGATGCTATGTGTTCTAAGTGCCATGGCTTGAGAAGTAGGGGATGGGAAGAGACATTTCCAGGTAACCTTTTTGTTATTGACATCTTGGATGCTCCTGTAATTAAACATAGAGAGCAATCATAAGTTTTCAAAAATATTTCCTTGTGGAACTTCTTCAAAAGAGAAAAAAAAATATCTAAGCTCAAGACTAAAAAAGTAAGATTTTAAGAATTAGATGACTAGTTTGTCATCTAATTTCTAACTGATTTGTTCAACTAATTTTTGTGATCTTCTTTCAACATTGAAAGTATTGGAATAGCTTCTTAAAAACATAACTGGTTTCAACCTCTTAATATGCCTAACAATAAAATAAATACAAAATTGAAAGAATGCGTATTTGCCTATGGAAGTCTGCAGTCATCTAAAAATTATTTCTGAAAAAAGAAGGCTCCTTAAGAGAGTAAACCTTTGTGCAAATTTAACACAGGAACAGACGAATGCAATTAGGCAGTTCAGTTCACTTAGTTTCATGTATCTGATAGTCTAGAGATCTAACCATTTTAAATCCAAAGCCAAGAGCAGTAACTTTTCAACAAGGACGACACTGATGCAAAATTCCATGCTAGTATATTACTGTCTCGGTATCACCTATTTTTCAAACGATGATTGCTTATCACAAGTTACCACGCTTGAACCATCAATTTCGCTTTTAACTCTCTCTGGCATACTCAGGACACATCACTGATTAGTTTTTCCAAATTGCTGCTATGATCAACTTTGCTTTAAAATCGAAGATTTTGACAGAAAGGGCTTGAAAAAACCCCAAACCAACAAAAATACCCAACTCTACTGGACAGAAAGGTGGGTGAAATCAGGATCCTCCCTCCTTAAGGTTTTCCAAGTAAATTTCTCAACCTATTATAACAACTTGTTTCTAAACTCAGTGTTCTGAACTCTGCATCTGGGCGCAACGCACACTATCGTGCTTGCAATACAGTCATGTTCAACCATAATCACATAGTTCAGTCACCAAGTAGTAGGAGGAGCAAAGCACATGCTTAATATTGTTTTTATTGCTGAGTAAGGTGCAGACAGAACACAATGGCAGCTAAAAAAAACCCAACCAAACAAACCGCAACAGCTCTGCACGGCTGTTTACATCCTCCTAATAACGCTTTCTCACGAACAAGCCCCACTGAGCTCGTTGTGTTGTTTTAGACCTGAAGTAAGGCTGTTCTAGAAACAACGGAGTGCGCTATTTGGGGGGGTGGGGGGGATGGGCGGACTTAAATAGGGGGTGACCCAGACACAAGCCTAACTCCTAATCGCCGCGAACTAGGCTCTGCTGAAAACAATGAGGGACACCCTACAAAAACAGAGGACGTCGTTTCA